CGTTTTATTTAGTTTCTTTTTGAAATCCATTTCTGAATATTTTATACTGATTTTGATAAGTTTGTTGAAATTAATAGATGATGTAAAATGTAATGCATAAGCCCTTTAAGCGCTTCTTTTGATGAATTTGATACCATTAGACATTTTTATAGCACTCCTCTTTAATAATACACTGGTAAACTAATATTTTTCAATTTTTAATTGATCCTATAAATTGCTCACCACAGCAGCTGGCTTGCTTCCCCCTTTGCCCATAAACCCAATTCCGCCATTCCCTCCCCATTTCAACCCAATCAATTCAATCTACATCAACCATCATCAATATCTCTTGACAACACCCTTGGTCCAATTGGCTGTCTCACTCTGTAATCACCCCATATCCACCAGTGTCCCTCAACCCCAAATTCTTCTGATTTTATTCTCCCAAAACCAAATTTCCTCAACAACAAAGCAGGATCCCATCTTGTCTACCAATCTAGTCGTGCTTGATATCCGACTGGAATTATTTGACTCAAGAGTTGTATCATTCTTAGAGCTCTCCAGCCAAAAACAGTGGTCCGATTTAAGCCCCTCTTCCAGGGAGCGGCAAACACACAAGAGGGGCTTGGTTAAGCTTAGGGGTTACAGGTAAGTTGATGTATTTTAAATGATCTGGATTGTATTTGAGACCCGGCATTGAACACCCCATTTCCAATTTTTTGCCGTCACAGCAATGGTTGCACTGCAAATCATACTTCTTATCACATCAAGCCGGGGAAATCTAAAACATCAAAAGATGTAACATAATTTGAGCGGAGAACAAAAGTGTGGCGGGGTGGGTGAGGCGTTATGGGTATGTTGATGTATTTTGATCAAAAACTTTTATGATCTCAATCATGTTTGAGACCCGGAATTGAACTCTCCATTTTCATTTGTTTGACTGCACAGCAGTGGTTGCACCAGCAATCATACTTCTGATCATATATAGCCAAGGAAACCTCAAACATCAAAAGATGTAACATAATTTGAGCGGAGAACAAAAACTTGGCGGGGACGGGTGGGGTATTATGGGGAAGTTGATGTATTTTGATTGAAACCTGTTATAATCTCAATCATATTTGAAACCTGGCATTGAACTCTCCCTTTTCATTCACATATTTGACTTCACAGCAATGGTTGCACTGGCAATCATACTTCCTATCACATCAAGCCAAGGAAATCTAAAACATCAAACGATGTAACATAATTTGAGCGGAGAACAGAGAAACAAAAAACATGCCAGTCTACAATCAGCTTCTCCACAAGACAAGATTGAAACACATTTGTATTTTCAAAGCCAGCATGATATGTACACATCATTGAAGGTGATTCAAGGTAACATAGCATTATGTTCCACAACATGATGAGCAAGAAGAGCCGGAAAGACAGCTATTCAGCAGGGCTTCCAAGAGTACAAGAAGACCCCTGATTCCTTGACAACTTACTCCAATCCAGTCATATCATTGATTGTTTGTCTACTGTGCACAATTGTCTTGGTATGTTTCCCTCCCGCAACTACATATAAACTATCTAGAGATTTTTTTTTTATATTGGGCTTAACATGGCCACTTTATTTACCCCTTTGTTTAACTTAGATACTATTGGTTTTCAACACATACCAACCCACACACATTTTTACAAATTACACTGATCTAGCTTCCGGGTGAGTCTTGAAATATTCCATCTGTAAACTTGATGGCCGATCTAGATAACTAAAGCTTGGCCAACAACTTAGATCCTTCATCATGAAACTCAGCAATGTTGCAGCCATGCTCTTGATGTCTATAACATTCAGTCAAGCCTTTGGCGCAATGATTCAGGGTCTCAAGAGTGAAAAGCAAATCATACCAGTTGAAGTTGATATAGCCGACCATGCCAACATTGCTGGAGTTGAGCCAGATCATGTATGTCGTTGTAAAGGTAATTTTTGCACGTGCGATTCACTTAGAAAACCCTGAGGCTCCAAATGAGCAAATGGTTTGCCCAGTTCCACATGCCTTTCACACCACACATATGGCAGATGACTTGGCAAGCAGACCCAATTTGGCAGCATTGATCAAACACTATCACTTTGGAATTGATCAAAATGTAGAGTTTTTGGTTCTTATTGTGTATTGCTTCATTTTTCCAGTAGTTCTGATCTGGATTGAATTGATTAAGAATCAGTCAAAATATTTTTGTTGTGTGGTCTCTGTTCATCTTAAGTGTACTGTTTCCTCTTTTCAATTCTTACTCTTGAATTGATCAGAGTTGTATATCTCATTGGCTAGAAAAGTTGTCACACTTGCCTGAAAATTTTGAAGCCAATTTCCCCACAGTCAAGGCCACAGCATTGGCTCCAGCTCCATCCACAACTTGCCTTTTTACTTGGTCCTGTTTTACAACCTTTGCATATACAAAATCATCATTGAGTACTTGAAAGATGAGGCTCAAGGCCTGTGGCAACATGTCAGCTGTTGTCAAGATGTCCGTGTCTTGCTTTTGTTAGGCTTGACACCGGATTTAAAGCATTGGGGTTGGTGGCATTGCAAGATGTTCAAAGGCTTTGTTGGATATGCTCTGCCATTTGTTGTTTACATTGATTTATTTTACATTTCTCAAACTTCAAAGTGCCTTTGGTCTTTACATATGATATTGAACATGTACACTAATTCTGGTTGTCTTCCCTGAGGCTGAAGTTGCAACTGTTGTCATTATGGGTTATATCATTGTACCATGTATCTTCTCAAGCGGCCACCCAAAAAGTATTGCCACTATACTATACTATACTATACTATACTATACTATACTATACTATACTATACTATACTATCCTATACTATACTATACTATACTATACTATACTATACTGCACTATACTATAATGCACTACACTATAATGCATCTGAGCTATACTTGGCATAGTATAGTTCTGACCTGAGTATAGTATAGTTGAAATATACTCAGTATAGATTAAATATACTGAAGTATAGTCAGATTTTTTTTTTGCAAACTGGTGTAGGCATCTTTCAGGATATTTGGTAAATCCAACTATACTGGTATAGTGGTCAGTATTCCATTCTTACTGGAATTGTTTATTGCACTTATGTCCTTACAATCCTTTACGGGATTGTCCATTTCACATAACCTTTACAGGTCTGTACATTATTTGTCTCCGGATGCCTACCACATTCTGAAACTACCTCCACCCTTTGTACTCACTTTAAGTTGCTGAGTACAATTGGTACGGGGGGGCGCCGCCGCTGGGCCTCTTGGTTTGTGTGGCTGAGAAAATCCTTCTTGCTTTGCAAACCTTGATGCCCTTGACTTTGCCGGTGTGGTAATCAATCTATGAGACCAATCAAAAAAACCAAAAAATCAAGAAAAATTGAATTTTGAATCACATCAATTATATAACATATATTTTATCTTTACATACTCAATTTATTTAGACAAACTTAATATGATAAGTATAAACTATTAACCAACAGATTACAAAAAGAAAGAAAGAAAAAAAAACATAAGAAAAACTCGAAAACAGAGGTATACAGGTTGGAAATGGTTTTTAGGGTATTAATGTTAGGTTTATGGGTTTAGTAGGGTCAAAATATGGAAGATGAGCACTATGTTAGTCAGTAACAACTTTAATCTTGGTGGTTGATAAGAGAAAATAGAAGTTATCAAGGAAATGGAAAAAAGTCGAAATTGGTTTACAAGGGTTTACAGGTAGTTTTACATATGTAACAGTGGTATTAGTAATGAATAAGGTTACCAAGAGTGTTTTAAAGGATTTTCACGGTTTGAAATTGCTGTGTAAAGTTACAGAAGGAAAGAAAAGCTTAGTAAAAGGTGTGTAAGTGAAGAAAATAGGTGAAAATAGTCAAAAATGAAGGTAGATGATTACATGTGTCAAATGACGTCAGAACATGATGAGTAATAGTTCATTTGACGCAGAATCATCCAATTCATAGTTTACAACCTTTAAATCTCAATACCTAGCGTATTGATCTTATTCCCAAGTTAGAAAGTTTGGCTTTTCTGACTTCATCTCAAGTTAGAGATGATGAGACATGGATTGTAAGGATGTGACAATGGCACGAGGAATGTCCCCCGGCCATGTCACAAGTTCTCTTAGAGATGTCCTGTAGGTTGGAAATGACGAGTGTGGTAAGACAGGCCGTTGCGCCCTGAATGATCTCATGAGCTTGAAGACTCACTCTCTTCCCTCTTTCCGCTCCAGAAAGTCTTCCCACTCTCTCGTCTTTCTCTCTTCTCCTCCCATCTCGTCTCCTCCGTCGAAATCCTACGATCATCCTGAAGATAACTTGTGGATCATCGATAATCCCTTTTTGAGCCCTCATGTCTTTCAGACCCCTCCCACCCTTCGGCTCTAAGGATCTCCGTCCCCCAATCTTCTGAGATCGTAGCATCTTCTCGTAGGTTTCCCTTACGGATGCCTAACGGGGATGCTTCAAACGCTAGGCGTTTTTTACACCCACAGCTGAGCAAGACTCACTCCTGTTCTTCAGGAGCAAGTCTTGCACCCAGCATCAATACCTAGCGTATTGATCTTATTCCCAAGTTAGAAAGTTTGGCTTTTCTGACTTCATCTCAAGTTAGAGATGATGAGACATGGATTAATCCATCATCTTGCATTAAAAGTCCTTCAAATAAAACTTCTCAATATAAACTGGATACCAATCTATTCTGGACTCCTTCTTTAACACGATTTACTAAGAGGTCCATCACAGCTATCACCAACGTAGAAAAAAAACACATATTAGATTTCTAATTTGATTCATCCATTAAAAAGACAGAAAAGCTCGAACCTTTTGATACTAAATCTTGAATTGTGTTTCTTACAATTCGAAAATAAGATGACATTAATGATCTAGTCAGGTTGATTTCTCTGTGCTCTCAATCAGGTAACAGTATCCTCTATTCTTCTTCAGTTGTCTAAACAAAAAATATTTTAATTCATCTGCTGGATAGGAATCCCAAATCTAGTAAAGTACCATAAGTACTCCCTCTAGCATATGTTTTTCAAGACTCTTCATATTGAATGCAGCATTAACAGCTTCGAATCCAGAATTTCTGAATCCACCAGATCTATGTTGATTCGAACCATTATCATGACCCATACCAGTAAGACTATGTCAATTCAATCAATGTGGTTGAGTTTGCTGTGATAACATTCCACCACCAATCCCATTGGTAGATCCACCAAAAAAGTAAATCAGGAATGACTCTTTAGCATTTCCATACTGTGGTGAGGATCCATCAGAATTTCGACCATCATGATGATGAGATTAAGAAGGATTAGAATTTAATGGATTCAACCAACTATCTGAAACGATCCTTGTACTATTTGGTCTTGTCTAATGAGATCGTCAAATTGTCAATGAGTTATTGAGCGGCACTGATGAGGGACGCGTCAAAGGAGTGTTATGCAGTTGAACTTGTTGATGATGAGCTTGAGCATTACTATTCTCAGAAACACGGTCATCATCTTCAATCACACTTGAAGAACCCTTGCCGTCTCCATCAGAATCAGACTGTGAAAAGAACCCCGAAGAGATATCAAACCAAGGAAAGGTGAGACAAAAGGGGTTGAAAAAGCGAACTGAGAAAGAGACCCCAGCTACAATTGAAGCCGATGGTAGCAACAGACAACGTAGGGGAACCATTTCCCACCCTTCTGCGATCCATAACTCCGTTGGTAATTGCGTGGGTAGCATGCTGCATGATGCCGTTGATTTGATGCCTTTTCGCTGGAAAGGACAAATAGCTGACATGATGGTTTTGGTTTCAACAATCGGTTCTTTTCAGGAGACCGTGTCGGACAGCATGTACTTTGATCGGAGCCTGTGATTTCAGTAGCAATCAGGAAAGTGGAGGAAAGCGGAAGAGTGCTTTTTACTACGATGGCGAGATCGATCTCAAGAATACAATCAGTGTCAGCAACTGTTGCATTCCAAATGTCCTGGGGAAAATATGAAAGTTTCATCACAAAAATTATGAGAGAACAATTCAATATCGCTTTGAGCAAGGAGAAACGTTTTAAAAACTTCGTAGATAAGAGGCTTTTCATCACGTGGCGATGGAATGATCAATAGGATAGATCCGAGGTATAAGTGCTTTTACATGCACAGCAAAAACGATGTGTTGGGGAGGCGAACAAACGGGAGCTTTTTGGAAAAGTAAGTAGTTGCTAGATAACAGGAGTGAAAAGAGGGCTATGGCATCATTTGAAGGTTTCATTACGATAAAGCATGAGAGAACAATAAGATGGCATTTCGCGCGAAGAAAAGCTTTTGGTACACTTCATGCATGAGATGCTTTTTGTCATCGCGTGGCGGTGGAGCAAAATGATAGAGGCAAAAGATCAGTGCTTTTGGGAAAAGTAAAAAGGATGTATCAGCAAAGATGAAAAGTCACAGGGAGGGCATTTGGAATCGGGTGCAGCAGGCATAAGGCATAGAAAAGAATATAAATAGAGAGCGTTGTTGGATTTTATGATCAGCATCATTCAATGCTACTCACGGCTATTCACGTATGTAGGCCTCAAGTGAGAAGCGGAGAGATCCCGGTGTTTCACCAACTCAATTACTGAATTGCTGCCAAATTGGCGTAGGATTCAGTGGTTTTGGGGGGTGAATCCGGATTTAAGAATATTAATTATTGGGGATGTTAATTACTTTGATTATTATGTAGTCCTATTTTTAAAGCTATCCTTTCTGTGCAGGAAACTGGACATATGAATGTGGTGTGTGGCAAAATTACATACACTGTTATGGTTTGTCAGGGTGGCTACTACTTAGAGAGTCAAGTAGTCTAGTGATTACTTGATTCACAGTCCTGACAAGGGATTCCGCTGGTTACACGGGATATCCACTGTTGTATCTCATCCTGAAGTAAGGATAATGATAACAATTAATGTGGGTAAGACCACAAGCTCCTCACAATGTTTCAAAGAAACATGATTCTGAGGCCCACTGTAAGTTAACAGATGTAAGGTGGTCAAACTTTGGGCCTGGTATATAATCTCGGAGATACACAATCTAGAGTAGCCTGCGTCCGAAGACTAACAGGGATCTTGCCAACTTTGTGTTGCAAGAACTGGGTAGTGACCAAGGAGATCTACGTGGCTTTTAGGTACATAAAAATGTTCTGGATTTGAATCTATAACATTTCATATTCAAAGCTATTAGGCAGAAAGAATGAATACAATGGGACTATATTAGCCGGAAAGTAGACAGATGCATTGGGACTAATAAGATACTAGGAGTAGAGAAAAGTACAGATTATAGTTCAAGATACTAGGAAGGACAAGTCAACAATTCTTTGACTTTAAGCAACAGGTGAAATGGCACTGAGATTTATATACAAGCATAATGATCTTAGCTGGAATTCCAAACAGAGGTAGGTCTGAAATATTTGGTTAAAGTATGGGAAGGTGAGTCCCTCCATCCCTTGGAGAGACTCTCCTATATTTATGTTCTTTTTGCTCTGATTTAAGGGAGACATCAGAGATACTTTTCCTTGGCGTATTCTTCTGTACGTGAGTTTCAATTGAGACGTCTTCTCTTTTCGTGCAAATTAATTTCAATTTAGTTCTCAAGACTGGTCTCACTAGTCTTTTGAATGTCAATAGAAGATTCTAATCAATTTGTTCTCCAGGATGATTAATTTGTTTTAATTGACTTCTTATCAATTGTATAAGTTCAGAAGTAACTTGGTTCATTTTGATCACCTCATCTCTATGGTGCTAAGGTGAGTAGTATTAACTAGCCTAATACTTCTGGTATGCAACACGTCCTCATTCAGAAGAGCTTGTTGGAATCATTTGGTTATAGCAACCATCTGAATCTCTTCTTTACAAAAGTAGTTATTATCTTTTATGTTTAAAAAGTCTTTGAGATGACCGCTGAGCTTGGACTATACTATTTAATATGTCTTCATATGAGACCGGTATAAGTGATGGAATGTTTTATTTCAAAGCTATCCCATATTACAAATGCAAGTGTAGTACTTAAGGCTCTTTGGTCAGTACAAAGAGCTTGAGTGCTGACAAAAATAGATAGACTTTAGTAAGATCTCAAATACTCATTGCCTTGGTTAATATCATTTTTATAAGAAGGTACTCATGATGGATTGACAAGCTGACTTTTTTTCTTTTTCCATGTCTTTTATGAGAAGGTGGTCTTCATAATAGTACAGTGATTCAATTTTATGGTGGAAAATAACCTTCAAATCTCATTCTTGTGTGAAAAAAGATCAAAATTTTAAACTTTGGCACCACTCTCAAACCTGCCTCACCCGTAAAAAAAGACAAAAAACAAAATCTCAAAAATTTTGGACCCACAACTCCATGTGGGCGGGCTTGGAACATGGACTTGGGTTTACCCACTGTATGTACCACTGCCAGCATTAAGTACATTAGTGGCTCTCAAACCTGCCCCGGTTTTCAAAAAACCCAGTTGACCCAGTTGTTTTTTGGCAGTAACTTTGTGTATCAAGTTGACATTTGTCGACAGCTCCCAGCCAAAAATTCAACTGGGGCAACCGGGTTTTTTGTAACTGGGTCAGGTTTGAGAGCCACTATTCCTTGGTGGGAATATGACCTAAGCTGGGAACATGATTGAGAGTATATTGGGTCATCAAATCATCTTGCACTGCACATCTGAGCCATAAAGCTTATGCTACATATGTGCAAAAATCTGAGTAAGACCTGAGCTATCAGCTACATACAGGTTTGCTCAGTTATCTGCTCATTTAGACATGCAAATCACATGTAATACCTTCTGTGACTTTGTTCAGATTGAGACATGCATTTCAAAGGATTGACTACATATATCACAATGGCGACTTGGGAAGTATTCATGGAGCTGTGTAACAGTAGCAGAAGTGGAATCTGGTCCCTAGGACCCATATTCCCACCAAGGAACGTACTTAATGCTGGCAGTGTACCATATATGCAAATTACCCATAAAACCCTTGTTTACCAACTTCAAATTTTCCTAATCCCTTAACAACCTCTATCCTTCCTTATCAACCATCAATATCAACATTGTTGCTGACCAATATAATGCTTTTCTTTCATATTTTAACCTTACTAAGTCCTTAAACCTAACACTACACAAAATGTAATCTTTACCTGGCGGTAAAGAAAACTACTGACATAGAAAAGTACTGAGGCAACAGGAAGAGAGCTAAAAATCTGAAAAAATATGCACCTTGTTCCTAGATGTTGGAGCGTCATGATGAGTATTTTTTTGTATTTTACACACGGACATTGGTTAATGTACTAACAATAAAGGCTGAGAATCATCAAAAACCCACCTGTAACAATACCTGAAATTTGGCCCTTGATTTTGAAGACAGGATTTTGAAATCTTCAAACATCAATAACTTTTGCAGTTCTGAATCAAAACACTCGATTTGAAGTGCATTAAAAAGGTGAGCCTTTCCTCTACATTTTTCATTCAGACATCACATCTGTAGCTGGTCTCAAAAAGATCCTACAGAGATATTCATGCAGAACTGTTTGAACATATGTAGAGTGTTTAATTGACTAGATAGCACCTTACTAACATTATGAAGTGTGAAG